TAGCCAAGGACAAAAAACCAGCTCAGAAAAGACGGAAAACCACACAACAGGATGTGCTAAAGAAAATCGATGACTCCTTGAAGTCCTTTATGGAATACCAGCAGCAAGCTGATAGGCTTTTCCTTCAGGCCGAAAGTGAAAGGAAACGGAAAGAAGAAGAGAGAGAGGAGAAGCTAAGGAAAGAGGACCAGGAGTTCTTCCTGCAGTTGGCAAAAGTGCTGAAGGGTTGAAGTCAAGTTTGTACTCATGCGTGCTGTTTGGTTTAGTTTATGCAGACTTCCTTAATACTACTGCAGATTGTTTTAAAATAAATAATTTGCTGTATATTATTAGTTTGTACTTTTTTTGGATACCTTTTGCAATTTTGTGGTGCTGAGCTTGCAGATATAAACATAACCTCCACATTGCTGGCAAGTTTCTGATATTAACACATTTGTCAACCACATGTATCACCAACGTATGTGCCCTTAACAAGTCTCTTGNTTTCCATTTAAAGACATTTTCAGAGCTTGTGTTTTGGATGTTTGCATTTTTTCGTTAGCTTGTTTTACAGCTTTAGCCTGCAAAAATCTACCTGTATCACAAAGCTCAAAAGCTCGCGTTCAACGGCTGTCTTGCCTTTTGCCTTTTGCTAGTTAAATACCAGTAATCTTTTACGTACTCTGCAAATGTTGGCATGTGATCTTTACCATCCTGTTTATTGTTTTTGGAGCCAAGGACAAAAAACCAGCTCAGAAAAGACGGAAAACCACACAACAGGATGTGCTAAAGAAAATCGACGACTTGTTGAAGTCCTTTATGGAATACCAGCAGCAAGCTGATAGGCTTTTCCTTGAGGCTGAAAGTGAAAGGAAATGGAAAGAAGAAGAGAGAGAGGAGAAGCTAAGGAATGAGGACCAGGAGTTCTTCCTGAGGTTGGCAAAAGTGCTGAAGGGTTGAAGTCAAGTTTTTACTCATGTGTACTGTTTGGTTTAGTTTATGCAGAATTCCTTAATACTACTGTAGATTGTTTTAAAATAAATAATTTGCTGTATATTATTAGTTTGTACTTTTTTTGGATACCTTTTGCGATTTTGTGGTGCTGAGCTTGCAGATATAAACATAGCCTCCACATTGCTGGTAAGTTTCTGATATTAACACATTTGTCAACCACATGTATCACCAACGTATGTGCCCTTAACAAGTCTCTTGTAAAGCTGTTACTTTCCCCAATGTTAAACTACGTACAGAGACTTTCTTTGTCACATTTTAATTGAACTATGTTACCAAATAAAACTCTACTATCAGTTGTCAGTGGACTAATATATGGTCAGCCAAAACTTTTTGTTCCCCCCCCCAGCCCCCTTCAACCAAGCAAAAACCTTTTATCTTTCCCCCTCAAAGGAATGCCAGCCCTCCCATTTACTGCTCCTTCCTGGTAGTAAATAATAAACAATCCATAAATAGCATTAATGTAAAGTGGTTTTTAGTTCTTTAATTTGGAAATGTCTATACCACTGATAAAAAGACAACCACAAAGAACATGCATACGGTATTCCCACTGGTAAGTGCCCACGCTTTAATAAGTGCCCTCCCCTGAATGAGCACCCACCCCCTCAACCAAAATAGCAAATAAGCACCCTATCTTTCTTAAATAGTAAAGATACAAGAAAAACCTGTTTCTATTGGCACATAATTTCTAATCTTGTAAGCTGTAACTACACCAGCATCAGTACATGTAGGAGAACAGTTTATTTTCTTTAAGTCACTTGTAGTTTTTTCTATATCCATGTGCTTGCAGAGTTCTGTTATGTACAGTAGCCAAAATAAAATTTCATATTTTTGAAAGAAAAACTTAATGAGCATCCCCCTTGATTAGGCATCCTCCAACAAATAAACACCACCCCTCTCCCCCCTTTTGGCCAAAATTTTAATTAAGCACCTGGGCTCTTATTCAAGGAAATATGGTATCTCCATGTATTTTGGGTCAACTATGGGATTTGATTTATACCTGGACTTCAAGATTGAAATTGATTCTTAATTATTTAATTATCTTAATTATACGCTGTAAAAGTTATGAGCCATCATCTGTCACACAACCGATCCAGTGAGGGGCGTGGGTCTATTCCTGATTTGACATCATAAACTGAT